CAAGTAAAATGCTAAAAGCATGAATTAGTTAATCAGATTGTACATACAGTTTGGAATTTCAATAATAACAAGATAAGCTTACCATCGTCTTCAATCCAGTCGTCTTCTTGACGCTGTAGGACACGCTCGGTGTATTCCCTTTCATCTACAGTTTCGTAAACGTTCTCAACTTCGTCCACATCATATTTGTGTTTGGTCCCCTTGCCTTTGAGAGCTTTTAGCTTCTCTAGCGCCGACATACGACCATGTTTATCAACTTTCTGCCGCTTGGCCCTTTGCCCAGCTAAAAGTTACGAAAAAACGCAGGAAACNCAGGAAAAGATAAGACTTATTTCAAGAAGGTTATAAGATGAAAATACGTGTAATACTTAATTATTTGAACTGTATCAGCACTTACCAATAGAATCTGCCATATTTATGTGAAATATCTATTATTTGAGTCAATATTTTGCACTTAATCAGTATTTTTCATTCCGAACAACAAGTCAACAACCACAAAACACTATTTTGTTTGACGTTTACTTTGGCGCGAAATCCGTTGTCAAAAATGACATTACAAACAGCTGTGAACCATAGACTATACTAAATAATGCAACGGCTATAGTTACGACATTAGTAAATTGTGGCGAAATTACTGGTGTGCCAATGCCAGTTTAAAAAAAAAAGAGAAGTCGCGCATTTCGCGCCAAATTTACATCTGTCAAAAAATTGAACGCGGCTGTTGTTGTGTGTGTTGTGGTGATAGAAATATTTTTGAATTAAATAATTACTCGTTCCTTGCAAATTATCAATCACAATGGCAATGCGAGACTATGCAGCCGACAAAGGTATGGTTTCAAAAATTAATTTACGCTCATCTAGCCATCTAGCCCGACAAACCGTTAAAGCTAACCAATACTTGTGTTGTTTCAGAAACCTTCAAGAACTTTTTCATAGATTTCTGCCAAACTGATGATGAAGGGAATAAAAACTTTAAATATTCCGAGCAATTGACAAGACTTGCGCACAGGGAACAGGTAAATTTCTTTGAAGTAGTCGGCAGATAACCTATATTTGTATTGTTTTTGTCTAATTTTTAATGATACTTTGTTTTTATTCTAGACTGCGTTCATAGTGGAATTAGATGACTTACATGAGACAAATGAAGAACTTGCAGATGCTGTCAAGCAAAACACTAGGCGGTACACCAATATGGTTTCAGACGTGGTGTATGAAATGCTGCCAGACTACAAACACAGAGAGGTATTTCTTTAAAAGAAGACAATGTTCTTACTGTTAACAACTTTTACTTACCTTTGAAGGAAAGAAAATTATTACAATTTGTCCGAAGTGTGTGTGTTTGTTGGTGCATTCCACACATTTGTAAATATATTGTTTTCCTTATCAGGTAGCAGCAAAAGATGCCCTGGATGTCTACATTGAGCACAGGATAATGCTGGAGGCCAGGAACCACCGCATCCCTGGAGAGATGAGGGACCCCAGAAACAGATATCCACCAGAGCTTATCAGGCGCTTGTAAGATTTTGACTTGCATACAAAACAGAATATTTACTATAATTGATATAATTTTTAGACCCTAAGACTGAGTTGGACCACTTAACTTTATCTGTAACTATAACAATAACTGGTGTGTTCTTAGTATGGAGTTTTATAAAATTTTGTCATTTTTTAAAGTAAGATGGTGCACCTTGATGGTGAAAAAAAAATCCTTAACTTATTTGATAAGAATAATAAACTTTTGTAATTATTTTAGCGAGGTGTACTTCAAAGACATGTCCTCCTCAAAGTCAGTGCCAATCAGAGACGTGAAAGCAGAACACATTGGCAAGCTTGTCACAGTGAGAGGTAATTTATCATTACATTTTCTTTACAGCTGATTTCATCTTTTACTTTATGTTAAAATACAAATTGCTGTCCTAACACCCCTGGTTTCAGTTATTATAAAACCTCAATTATGAACTTTTCCAAAAAGCAAATGAAAATTTAATCTTTATTTAACAACATTGTCTTTTGGATGGACCACTATTATTTTTAACAAAATCCTAAATTAATTTTCAGGCATCGTCACAAGGTGCACAGACGTGAAGCCTTTGCTGGTGGTAGCCACTTACTCCTGCAGTGCTTGTGGTGCGGAGACGTACCAGCCAGTCCGTTCCCTACAGTTCACACCACCACCCGTTTGTACTGCTGAAGACTGCCGAATCAATAAGGCCTCAGGACAACTGCATCTGCAAACTAGAGGCTCAAGGTTCCAGAAGTTCCAGGAGCTTAAAATACAAGAACATGTTAGTATGGATGCTAGTATTTTAATTGAAGCTGGAAAAGACCCTCAAAAATGAGATACACTTATTAAAAGGCCCTTAATAAATACTAATATTATAAATGGATGTCTGGATGTTTGTTACTGTTTTATGCAAAAACTACTGAACGGATTTTGTTGAAACTTTACAGTATTATTGTTTATACCCAGTATAACATATATGACGATATGTGATAAACTAAATTTCACGCGGGTGAAGCCGCGGGCATATTTATAATGGCCGCGCAGTGTCGCTTAAATGCGGTCTGGCCTTAACGATTTCTGCACACTTTTTTTTGGTGCCATCAACGCGAGTAGATGGCCTCTGAAAAAATCTTAGAACAATAACAGTGTCGTGTTAAGATCGCGCTGCAGTGAGCATCGCTGCCTAGTTAATACCGTGCGCGCGTGCGGCGTAATGATGCGCCGCGTCGCGACGTTCAAATACGTTCAGATTCAGACTTTTGATCAATCTAATATCTATCTTACATTGCAGTCCGACCAAGTGCCCNTATTATTATTTTCTCTACAGCTTATTTCATTTGTTACTTTATGTTATAATCCAAGTTGCCTTCCCAAATACCCTGGTTTCAGTTATTATAAAACCTATACAGGGTGTTAGGTAAATGGGTATATGAGCCGACACTAGCCCATGTTAACACGGGCATATAAATGGTATGGTGAAGTCAGAAAATTGATATCATCATTTAAATTTTTAAAATTTTCATACAAAATAAATTTGATAAAATCCGATTTGTATAAAAATTAAAATAATTAAATTTAAGATATCAATTTTCTGACTTCACCATACCATTTATATGCCCATGTTAACATGGGCTAATGTCGGCTCATATACCCATTTAACAAACACCCTGTATAATTATGAACTTTTACAAAAAGCAAATGAAAATGAAATCTTTATTCAACTCATTCATTGTCTTTTGGACGGACCACAATAATTTTTAACAAAATCCTAAATTAATTTTCAGGCATCGTCACAAGGTGCACAGACGTGAAGCCTTTGCTGGTGGTAGCCACTTACTCCTGCAGTGCTTGCGGTGCGGAGACGTACCAGCCAGTCCGTTCCCTACAGTTCACGCCACCACCTGTTTGTACTGCTGAAGACTGCCGAATCAACAAGGCCTCAGGACAACTGCATCTGCAAACTAGAGGCTCAAGGTTCCAGAAGTTCCAGGAGCTTAAAATACAAGAACATGTTAGTATGGATGCTAGTATTTTAATTGCAGCTGGAAAAGCTCCTCAAGCTACCAACAAGTGTCCCTTTAAAAAAAAAAGAGTTATCTACACATGAAACAGCTCTTGCTTGATATTCACAAATATTTTAGTTTTTATCTTCGCCGCGCATCGCCACTTAAATGCGGGCTGACCTTAAAGTGTTCTGCGCACATAATTTTGGCGCCAACGCAATGCAAATCGTGTGTAGTAAGAGTAGATGGAATGTGAGTAGATAGACTCTGAAAAAAGCTTAGAATAACAGTGTCGTATTAAGATCGCGCTGCAGCGAGCATCGTTGCGTAGTGACGTGCAGTGTAGTGCTGCACCGCGTCGCGACGTTCAAATACTTTCAGATTCAGACCTTTGATCAATCTAATATCTATCTTACATTGCAGTCCGACCAAGTGCCANCCGTTTCACACATTGCGTACATTAAATAAAAAATATTTTTACATCGTATTTAATTAAAATATAATCAATAGACTCAGATTTTACTATATATTTCAAGACAAGTAGTTAATTTTTTTTTATTATATTGCTAATAAAATACAAATATTTTTTCAAAAATATTCTGCATATGTAGTATGCGTAATATGGATAACCTTGAAGTGTCATACGGATCATCTTACGTGAAAAAGACTATAGGACCTCTTCTAAAACTTGCGTGTCTGGATAGAAAAATAGAGCAGCACAGTGCTACGTGCTCCGAGTTACCACACGCGCGGAGAGAAGCGGGAGCATGCCACGGGCATTCATTTGCGGCTTGTATGTACTAAAGCCAGAGGTGGAATTGTGTAAAGCAATCGTAATCATTTGACAGTTCATAACGTACGATTATTCTGTCAAACGCTTTGTTTATCTGACTTTATCGTACGCTATGAACTGTCAAATGAAAACGATTGCTTTACACAATTCCACCTCTGCAGCTCTGGTCCGTGAGCACGTAGAATCCTGTCCAGCAACAGCAACATAATTACGTGCGAGCGACAAGGATGGGCAGCTTGGGGTCATTGGACGGGATTCTACGTGCTCACGGACCAGGCNCGTCGCTGTACTGCAGCGGCGAGATAAGACGTGACTTTCTCATAGATTTTGGCAGAGGCGGCTCTAGCCTGTGTAGCGCCCGTCTGCAATGCACCAGTGGCATACGGTACCCCTTAGAACCGTGCGCCAGTCTTCAACGCACACCCCACGCCTCTAGTAAAACCGCCTCTTGATTTGGTTTCGTTTAGCACTGCAAGCACTGCTCGCTTAGTGCTGGAGCACTAAGGGTGTGGACACCCACCAGTGAGAAAACCGAGCAGTGCTATAACAGAATAATTATGATGTCATTGGGTCGCAAACTCAGTTAACTGATTTTTCAGGGCTAGAAATGAGTGATTTCAAAAAATGTCTTGAATTTCAAGTGTCTACTACGTTATTGTGGTGATAAAACTTTTAACCGATTTTTCCCACATGTCCCAGGGTGTGACCTGCCTCAACCAGAGTGACGAGAGCGAGATGGCTGAAGCTCTAACAGAAGAAGAATTGGCAGAACTGGCGGAAGAGGACTTATATTCGCGCATGGCGCGCAGCCTGGCGCCCGAGATATATGGACACGAGGACGTCAAGAAAGCGCTGCTGCTGCTATTGGTTGGAGGAGTTGATAAGTACGATAATAGTTTATTTATTTATTTTATTTGGTTTACCAGAAATTGTATGATGCTTACACAGTATACATACAGCCATAGTGGTAATAACTAAATGCATAATTAATTTAAGGTAAACACCGCATGCAATATATTAGTAACATCAATTATTGATTGAAACTAGACCGGTAGACAATAAATTATAAATTGAAAAGAAAAACACAGTTACAGAAATGGTTACTTATTTATTATTCCCTCTTTTAAGATTTATTTCTTTCTCTTAAATACCTGCGTACCGGTACGCGGCCTCCACTCCAGAACCTTGCTGCCCCATCGGCCTTCAGTTCTGCGTACTGTGTGCCCCGCCCATTGCCACTTCAGCTTGCTAATCCGTCGTTAAGTATCTATCTCTATGCCAAAATTGATCAATGATTAATTCCTCACGATGAAAAAGTAGGCTGATATACTCGTAATTTTGAAAAGACTAGTGATGTCCCTAACATCGATCCTTATAGTCTTTTTCACGTAAGATGATCCGTATGACGTTTCGAGTTTGAAAGATTTAGAGATGTCACATAACTAAACCATAGCGATTTATCTATCGATTTTTTTCGAAGAGTTAGTAAAACCTACTTTTAGAGAAATATTTTGTATAGGTGTTATTTAACAAAAAACATGTTTTTTTTAATTACAAATATTATTGTAACAATTTTTTATTGATAATAATGGTTCGTGTTCAAAAAAANGTATGTACTAGCGGTGCAATAAATATGTGAGCCTAAGCTCACGTGGCGCTTGTGCGTTCGCCAGCATCTGACGTAACACGCGCAAGTTTTAACGTAAACCGTTGTAATTATTATAAATTGTAGGCTCTTCGTTGCTTGCATCGCTTACCGTTTCACTTAAGCCTTCTCTTGACCTTAACTTGACTATCCAGTTCCGAAATTAATTTAACACCCTCTCGGCACTCGGCAGACGTCCCAACGGCATGAAGATCCGCGGCAACATCAACATCTGCCTGATGGGCGACCCCGGCGTGGCCAAGTCGCAGCTGCTCAACTACATCGACCGCCTCGCGCCGCGCAGCCAGTACACCACGGGCCGCGGCTCCTCCGGCGTGGGGCTCACGGCCGCCGTGCTCAAGGTACTGTCCCGGACCCGGCGGGGCCCGCGGCAGCCGCTCGCTACAGCGACCGCCTGCAGCCAGTACACCACGGGCCGCGGCTCCTCCGGCGTGGTGCTCAAGGTACTGTCCCGGACCCGGCGGGGCCCGCGGCAGCCGCTCGCTACAGCGACCGCCTGCAGCCAGTACACCACGGGCCGCGGCTCCTCCGGCATGGTGCTCAAGGTACTGTCCCGGACCCGGCGGGGCCCGCGGCAGCCGCTCGCTACAGCGACCGCCTGGCGCCGCGCAGCCAGTACAATATTCAAAGAAGAACAAACGATTTAGACAAGACTGCTGTATAAAGTTATTCTTTGTTAAGATTCATTTTTTAACCATACGTAGGGCATGCATTATTCGTCCGATATTGGTATTCGAATATTTCGAATACTAAAATTTATGGTATTCGAATACTTCGGATAAAACGATTTTTTCGAATACTGCTTTTTTCAATTTAATGTAAATTAAATAAGCACTTTTTTGTCTATAATCATTTTAATTCGGATCAATTTTTGCTTATTACAATCATCTAACTTTACTACTTGAAAAAAAAAATTACTTTCTTGTGTATAGAAAATAGGAACGCGAACGTAAGAAACTGAGAGAATCCTAACGTATCATTCATTAAACATCTCAAATTATTACTAAAGAACCTCATCATCATCTGAGCCATAGGACGTTCACTGCTGAAAACATAGCGCGTCCAGCGCCTTCCTGCTCCCTTTATGATGTTGTCGGTCCACCTGGTAGGTGGACGTCCCACGCTGCGTTTTCCGGTACGCGGCCTCCACTCCAGAATCTTATTGCCCCAATGGCCGTCAGTTCTGCGTACTATGTGCCCTGCCCATTGCCACTTCAGCTTGCTAATCCGTCAGGCTAATCAGTCAGTTAGTATAAATCAGAAGACTGAGGAGTATAACTTACCACTATGCTTGGCGTTCGTGGACTATGAGAAGGCCTTCGATTCGATCGAGACTTGGGCAGTGCTACAGTATTTCCAGCGTTGCCGTATTGAATATCGGTATATCGAGGTGCTGAAGTGCTTGTATAAACACGCCACCATGTCGGTCCGAGTACAGGACCAGAGCACGAGGGCGATTCCTCTGCAGCGAGGCGTTAGGCAGGGAGATGTTATATCTCCGAAACTGTTCACCACAAAAGAACCTATTAGCTGAAAAAAAATGTTCAGCTTCGACACTCGTAGGTGGAATTATAAGTAGAAAATCATAAACACGCTGTAGGTGAATGCTTTTTGGACCGCCTTGATCTAATAACGCCATCTCCACCCTAACAGACGTTTCCAAGTCTTCGTTATCGGCCAAATTTTTGGTTGACTTGATACCTCAGCAAAGATTCATTAATTTTTGTTATTAACTGTTCCTTAAAAGTCTTTGTATTTCTCCCAAAGTAAAATAAAAAAAGAAACTTGAGGAAAACCTCAAACAAATCATAACTTTATTTTTGAAACATCAAAACCTAAACAAAACAACTATTTTTTTTATAAAAATTGTTGAAAACTTAAAATTAATAATCCGTGGATCCACCTATTAAGACTCTCCTGACACATCTGCAGCGGTTCTGCATACTCAAAACAAGGGTCAATATCCTGTTGTGGGATACTGTCCCAAGTCCTGCTAAGATGCATGAAAAGCTGGTTTTCATACACCATATCTTCAGGGAAATTCCTAAGAGCTCTTCTCTGAAGCATATCCCAGGCATGCTCAATAGGATTTCAGTCAGGGGATTGTGCAGGCCAGGTGCACGCACACATAAACACGTTTTCTTCTTTTATTTAACATTATTAACATTGCTTAAGTAGTTTGAGGTCAGATATTTTTACAAGATTTAATAGAAAAGCCGTATTCGTATTGTTCGAAAAAACCGAATAATTATGTAGATGCTATTCGAATAATAAATTTGGCGAATATCCGAATAATATGGATATCCGGATATCCGAATTGCATGCCCTAACCATACGACATTCACTGCTAGCCGCTGTGTTTGAGATTCAATCAAACCCAATATAAAGTACCTTTTTTCAATCAAAAGACAACGACTATAAGTACCTACTGGACAAAGACCTTTCTCCCAAGAACTTAACAACGAATGGTCCTGCGCCGCCTGTATCCAGGTACTTACTGCAACCTTCATTAGGAAGTGGAACTAATGTTCATCAAACATTTTTGTGCTTAGAGACGCCAATTTGGTATTCATTCAGAATGGTTTATGTTCAGCAATGGTCTTTTTTTGGCTGAAATGTGTTGTCGTTTTTCTACAAACTAATGGTACTCCGCTACTCTTGTGGTGGAGTTTTGGGCTGACACTGTAGGTTTGTTGTCGACACGACAAGAAGAGATTGGTAGTCTCATCATCATCATTATCATTTCAGCCATAGGACGTCCACTGCTGAAGATAGGCCTCCCCTAATGCTTTCCACGTTGATCGATTGGTAGCGGCCTGCGTCCAGCGCTTCCCTGCTACCTTTACGATGTCGTCGGTCCACCTTGTAGGTGAACGTCACACGCTGCGTTTTCCGGTACGCGGCCTCCATTCCAGAACCTTGCTGCCCCATCGGCCGTCAGTTCTGCGTACTGCCCTGCCCATTGCCATTTCAGCTTGCTAATCCGTCGGGCTATGTGAGCGACTTTAGTTCGATGGTAGTCTGGCCAAATCTAAAAATGTTATTCACGTCACAATCTATTCCACTCCGCAGGACCCGTTCACAGGCGAGATGATGCTGGAAGGCGGCGCGCTGGTGCTGGCTGATCAAGGCGTGTGCTGCATCGACGAGTTCGACAAGATGGCCGACACCGACCGCACCGCCATCCACGAGGTCATGGAGCAGCAGACCATCTCCATCGCCAAGGTATAACACGGATTAACACGCTATTTATGAACTCATAGCGTACCCAGGTCAAACTTGACCTCCACTGGTTAGGTTTTTATTGGCGGTCAAGCTGTAGATCCTGGCTACACAGGAGTTGCAGCGGTGAAAACGAGAGGTGGGAATAGTCCCGTATAACCAATTCTGCTTTAGTTTGCCTTAAGTAAATTAGATGGTCGTGCTCCTGCAGTAGACTAAATGACGTTCATGATGATTCCAGTAACATTTTGGGTTGTATGTTATAGTATTTTATAATTTACCATATCGCAAAAACTTTACCATTTTGAGTAGGCGTATGTTAATATTAGAGAATCGACAAAATTAAGTGCTTGAATAAAAAAAAAGAGGTTCCATTTAATTTTTATTAGAAGTCCAAAAAATCCTATCAGCACCATTTTATTTCTGGAATACTTTCAATTGTTTCGCCAATCGCGAATCGCCTGTGGCGAGCATAAAAAAAAAGAAAAGAAATGAAACGCAAAAAAACAATAGACTATCAACATAACATTTTTATTATTTCTTTCTGTCAACCTTCAATTGTTTGATCATTTCACAGGCGGGCATAATGACTTGCCTAAACGCGCGCGTGTCGATCCTCGCGGCCGCAAACCCGGCGTACGGGCGCTACAACCCCAAGCGCACCATCGAGCAGAACATCCAGCTGCCGGCCGCGCTGCTGTCGCGCTTCGACCTGCTGTGGCTCATCCAGGACAAGCCCAACAGGCGAGTGTGCTCTATTGCCAGCGTCGTAGGGTGCACAGTGACGTGTCGCTTCCCTGCCCTTACACTTACTTATAATAAATAAATAAATAATCCTAAAGCCTGTCGCGCTCGCACACTCACTGCGGGCGCGCGTCGCAAAGTCGCGACAGCAATATAATTACGCGCGAGCGATAAGGATGGGTAGTTTGGGGTCATTGGACGGGATTCTACGTGCTCACGGACCAGGCTTTAGCAGCCGCCAACCCGGCTCGCTTAGGGTTGGTACTACTGAGGCTCATCTAGGACGAGTCCAACAGGTGACTAGACTAAAGACCGGGCTACTTGTCACCACAGCAAATTGACATCCTTTTAATGAGCTGGCAAAATGCATTAAACCTATCCAGTTGAGCTCGGAAATTAGTGCCGTCATACCTTACCTTGCTTATAAAAAGTATGTCAATTTATTAACTGTAGCATTAACTAATATTGAATTGCTGACATAACGATGTCGCCGTCTTGTATTGCCACACAGAAACAATAGCAGATGTGTTTTGAAAGCTTAAAATTACATAAATACTTTTTATAATGGTATCAAATGGCATTTAACATATCACTTTGTCTACAGAGAGAAAGATCTGGAGCTGGCCAAGCACATAGCGTACGTGCATCAACACTCGAGCCAGCCGCCGAGCGAGGTCCGCGCGTTATCCATGCGGCTGGTGCGCCGCTACGTGGCGCTCACCAAGCGCAAGCAGCCGTTCGTGCCGCAAGAGCTTGCCAACTACATCGTCTGTGAGTAACAGCCTACGAACACAGACCCAGTACAACACAGCTAAGCTATAATTTTCTTGTCTCTTGAGAATAATAAATCCTAAAATCTACTCAGGTATCTCATACTGGATCCATGTCAGGTCTGGTCACAGGTCTCCTATTGAAGAGGCAGTTTCTCACATTGACATAATGTTGTAACCCAATCATACACCTGGGAAGAGCGCCGGCCTGCGCCGGCCAAACTTATCTATAGCCCGACCAGGAACATAAAATCCCTCGCCATGTTGCGGAAAACTAATGGTACTCATTTCTTTTAATGGCAACAGTAACTGAAAACTTCATCGACATGTCATCTTGCATGTCAATAAATTGCTGCCAAAGTGTAAACAAACTTTATTTTAAATGTGTGCAATTGATTTTACTGAATTAAATTGCTAAAAACTTTTTATAGTCGTGAAAGAAAAGTAGTTCACAATGTGTTAAAGTATTTGTCGAAGAGAAATACTAAGGGTTCGAACAATATTTTCATTGAATAATGTTTCCGACAAAGGTTGTCAAATTGACTGGCATGTTTAGCGTGTAGTACAGTCCACTATGAAAATTAGCTGTGGTTTGTTTCAGCTACCTATTTTAAAGTTTTTTGTCACTTTGTAAGTGTTGAATTTTCTGGAATAATTAGGAAAGAAGTACCGAGTTTGAAGCGTTCATGAGCAGACATTGCAGTTGAATATTCAAGTTCTGAATTTGATTATTGATGAATAATAAAATAAATCCTACTAGCTCGATTGATGGTTTCATTTAATTTATTTAAACCAGGTCACTTATAATATAATCTTTTTTCTTTAATTTATGAAAATATCAAATTAGCCCGTAATCCTGAATCCTGATACATAAAGTTAGCCTATTAATTTAACACAGGTACGACTGTACTCAGTGTTGCACTATCAAATGCAATTGACGCACCTCTATGCCAGGGTTTTTATGTTCCTGGTCAGGCTATAACTGTGGAGTGTGTTACTCCACAGTTAGATATTCTCTGATATAATAGGAGCTATAGTTTTTATACTTAACAGTTGGCACCACTGGAGAGTGCTTTCACTCTTACATATTCTCAGCATTACAAACTTAACTAATTTGGCTTTTATCCCACAGCATCGTACGTAGAGCTACGACGTGAAGCCCGCAACGCGCGTGACGTCACATTCACGTCGGCGCGAAACCTGCTCGGCATCCTGCGTCTATCTACCGCGCTGGCCAGGCTCAGGTATGGTGACATTTACTATGTAAGGAACTACTTGGGAATATTAAATTCTGACATCTAAATTGAAAATACACTGGAGCTACATAAAAAAAACGTAACTTGAAAAAAAAAACGCATTTTTCGGGCAGTTGCATTTACACTACACTGGCCTGGCAACACTGGCAAGTGACAAAAAAGTAATTGACATTAGCGTCAACTGGTGAGTGCAAATGCGATAACTCTGCTGCTGCTTCAGAGGTAAATAGAACTTGCAGTTTATCAGTCCTTTTGAACATTTACATATTACCTAGTCTGGTCGTAAGTTCTGTCACATGATCATAACTTTTGAATTTTGAATGAAGGTCTCAAATATATTTATTGAATTAGAATTTAGAATATTTAACGAAATTAAAAATGTGCACTGTTTTGAATTTTATTTGTTTTTAAATATGTAGTGGACGCATAAAGAAGACCGAACAGCAGTTGTCACGCGGCATTGGTGCGGTTTCGCGCCAAAGCAGATTTTCGATGTGCTGAAAAAATTGAATNTAATTTGGCCTTTATCCCACAGCATCGTACGTAGAGCTACGACGTGAAGCACGCAATGCGCGTGACGTCACATTCACGTCGGCGCGAAACCTGCTCGGCATCCTGCGTCTTTCCACCGCGCTGGCCCGGCTCAGGTATAGTGACATTTTCTATGTGAAGAATACCTTCATTAAAATCAGGTGTCAAAATTGAAAATAGACGGGAGATACATAAACCTAAGTGGACGCCACTGGCAAGTGACAAACATTTACTAGTTGGCGCCACTGTCTTAGGCACTAGCAAGTGACAGAGTTAATTAAACTACAGTGATCTGAATTATATTCCAACTTATCTCCACATCTCGTACGTCATACCATCCCTCAACAGGTAAATATAAATTGCAGTTTATCAGTCCTTTTGAACATTTACATATTATATTTGTTTTAGGTTATCAGATGTGGTTGAGAAGGAGGACGTCACAGAAGCTATCCGCCTCGTGGAAATGTCCAAACAATCTCTCCAGCACGTGGAGGAGAATGTACAGAGGTGCGTGTCGCTTCCTTTATCATTATTGTTATGCTCAACTAACTAAAGACTAAAAATTGAGGGACATCAATGCTTAATTTCTTCTAATTAATTACATTGGTCCAATAAAAAATTAACTTTCCCACAACTGAGTTAGTTTTCATTACTTGGGCTTAATTGGCGACCAAGTTAAAGATCCTGGCTACACAGATGAGGTGGTGGGAACGGAGGTAGAAGCAGTTTCCATTATTTAATTTATTTTGTATTTTTTCCTACAAATATTTGTTTGCATTACTTTGGACTGGATTTATAATCCATACCACAGAGGAGCAAGCTTTGCTTTTGACTAGATGGCGTTGCACAGTCTTTTATTTTGCCTTAGAAGCGGACATCCCTGTTTTATTAATTCAATCGTTAGATATTACTATTATGTATAAAATTGATGAAGGAACTAGTAGTTGTATTTGCTTAGTTTCGAAGAAATCCACNGCTCTTAAGACTAGAAATTGAGGGGCGTATAAAAAGGGTCCAATAAAAAGTTGTAATTATTTTATTGTATTGTGTAATATTCACGGGTTGCTTACATTATATTAATATACATGCTGTGGTTATCGTTTGTGTGGGAGCAGTTAGCTAGAGACTTTTGGCTTAGTTTTTGTTGTGTTTAATACTGTATCTCATGTTGATAACCCAATAAAAATAAATAAATAAAATGTATTTTTTCCACAACTGAGTTATTATGCATTACTTGGGCTTAATTGGCGGCCAAGTTAAAGATCCTGGCCACACAGATGAGATGATGGGAACGGGGGTAGAAGCAGTTTCCATTATTTATTTTGTATTTTTTCCTACAAATATTTGTTTGCATTAATTTGGACTGGATTATTTTCCATACATAAAGCAAGCTTTGTTTATTTTTTACTACATAGCGCTGTATAAAATTATTCTTGAATCTCTATTTACTTCTCTGTGGCCTACTCAATAAGGCTCAATTTAAATTGTTTATTATCACGCACAGGGGCATCAGCGCCACAGACCGCATCTTCGCGATCGTTCGTGACGTGGCCGGCTCCAGCAAGACTGTGAAGATCGCTGACGTCATCGAGCGCTGCGTCGATAAGGGCTTCAAGCCCGATCAGGTAAGGAACTCCTCATAGAAGTCCCATACTATTTCCATTACATTACACGATGCATTCCATTACGCGTTACATCCGTCTGGACCCGACTTTAGAAAATCTACTGTTTGGAACACATTCTCACCCCCCATGCATTAAATGTTGAAAAAACATACAATTTTACTTGCCTTTAGTAGGCTGAGTGTATGAATGTTGTGTGATGTTGAGCAACTTATGCTGCTATGAATATCATAAAAACAACCAGTTAGGATATGCACAGACCACAGTACATCAGATTACCCATTTTTATTGCAAACTCGCCCTTATTGCAATTACATAAGATGCCACAGTGTTTATTTACCTTGCTGTGGTTTCGTCCCTACTTTTACGTAAACCATACATGGTTGCTCACTTACAGCAATTGGTATTTATTGCACGTCATATTTTCATCATTAATTTTGCAGAAAGGGTTGAAATTTCCACCTATAATACCTTATTTTGAAATATCAGTATCTGTTTGTGTCTTTACGCATTTAAAATTTAAATTGCACGTTTTATTGTCATAGGTGGATGCTTGCATCGAGCAATACGAGAATTTGAACGTCTGGCAAGTGAACCAAGTGAGGACCAAGATTACCTTCATGTAGTGTCACTCCGCGTTAGATTAAGTACTTACCAGTGTGCCTGACTCGATTATAAGTGGAATGAAGCATTTAGATTTAAGTGTGTTTTGAATGTTGCATTATGTATTTGATAATAAATTCTTTTTGGACAAAATTTCGTCTTATTTTTTGTTAATTTTAATACATTAAAATAGTCACATCTACTAAAAAGTTAAACTTTGAATGCTTTCAATGTCGAATTAGAAGCAATATTAGAAGAGTTTATTACATACTTTTAATCTGTGGTAGAAGGCATATTCGTGTATTTATTAGTTTATTTCAGACAAAACAAGAATATATTTGGTTTTCAGGCTTACAGGCGTTTATTCCCAATGTCCCCCACTATTTGACCACCACTGGTGGACATCGAGAAAAAAAGTTGCAATGTCCACCAGTGGGGGACAGCGCTACTGAAATCTTCCCGTTGGGCCCTACTGGTGGACACTGAGAAGAAATGAGTTGCTCTGTCCCTCAGTGGTGGACATCGAAACCAAAAAAGTTCCGTTGTCCCCCACTATTTGTTTTGTTTTCGTGATTATTAAAAAATAAATATTTTTAAAATATAATTCTCAGTTTTTTTATATTTTACACTATTAATATCAACGCGAAGGTCAACCCTTTGCGTTGATATTAATAGTGTAAGTTACTTATACTTTTATTTTTATTAAGCTAGTGCATCTTATTTTTTTCCGATGCACACATTCCCATACTTGTAATCCACTATTATGCTTTCTTTTTAAAGTGTATTGATGGCCTGCAAGCAAAAGAACTTTCCCACCTTTTCTATTTATGTAAACTTTTTCAATTTGTCGTGAACTAGATCCTGCAATTTCCGACATTATTACAGAATATAAGTGCAAAATAGTAACATTACCGACACAATAATTTCTGATAACATGAACATTGTGGGTACTTGAAAAATTAAAAATGACAAAACCGTTCCGATTAATGCACACTTCCTAGGGGCGTCAGTATAAATTAAGGATTGTTTTAAACTATATTAAAAATGTATGTATTATAATTATTAGTATAAGATTTACTTAAAATGTTTGTATTCATGAACACAAATATAATAGTGGGGGACAACAGAAATTTTTTGGTTTCGATGTCCACCACTGAGGGACAGAGCAACAAATTTCTTCTCAGTGTCCACCAGTAGGGCCCAACGGGAAGATTTCAGTAGCGCTGTCCCCCACTGGTGGACATTGCAACTTTTTTTCTCGATGTCCACCAGTGGTGGACAAATAGTGGGGGACATCGGGAATAAACGCTTACAGGTGACTGAAAAACGAACCCTTAAACTTTACAACGTTTAAATTGATAATTTGTTTTGTTTACGCAGTGTAAGTGAACATAACTTGACGCGGTAAGACACCCGCGCCGTACACACGCAAAGTAATCTAATTTGTTCCCCGCTCGCGCTTATGAAAGGAATAACTTAAAGGCAGACGTAGCCCGAGATTTGTGAGCGGATTGTTCCCGAGAATACGAATTCGTTTTTTTATTGCCGCACTCTTTCCTTGTTACGATTGCCCCGTCATAAAGTTGGTGAGCTGCAGTAATTTGTAACCGTTGATGTGGGCTTGTTATTGGTTCTGATACTCGTACGTGATGGTGAAGTAATGAAATATGAAATATAAATGTGATCCTTCTGTTATTGAGCTGGATATAATGTGGAATTTGGTTTTAGTGAGATAGCGTCTGAAGATATTGAGAAAGTATTGAAGTGGAACGTAAACGAAATTAATACTCGAATTATCTACCTTTGCTGAATGTGAAAGAGGGAGTAGATAATTATAGTTATGGTTTGGTCAATAAGTGCCGACACAAACATACCTATTTTAGGTTGTACAAAACGACCTAATATATTCACCACGCGTGCTGGCTTCGACCGCGGAATATTAATATTACACCTAGTATTCCAGAGAAATTGGGATATTCCGATATCATGTTATTAGATATCTATACAGTCTGCTCAATACACTCCATTCAATTCACACAAATCAATTTTCTATACCTATCTACTCTTATTCTTATTGTTTCAAAATTAATACTGAATTTCCGAGAACATGGTTATTATCCCTTAACACCTCTTACTTACTCCACGAAGACCAATAAACAATCACAAAAAATAGGCACACCATAATCGTGGCGCCCCTATTATTTTTACAATTNTTAAAACATAGATAGCTCTTAGTACTTATTAAATTAAACAACTGCATTGAAGTCAACGTACTTATACCACTTATTTTTACCAATCCAACAATATTCCTAGCAGCTGGTGCAATCGCAAAGTTTGTAGAAGGCTATTCGAGAGATGCAGTAGCAGCTGGTTTCTGCCAGACCGACTCCCCTCGGGCCATCCGATGCAGCTTTTAAACTTGTAACTTGTAAACCATTCGTTTTCTGAGAAAAACTATCAGTTGAAAATGTTACTGTGTATCGAATCGATCTTATAGACACAAAAACTTGGTTCGTTCAGATATAAGCGGTTTTTTATGATCCTCATTTCCGCATTTTCCGTTGACATAAATCGAAAGTGTGTGAACTCCCCTCTCGTTTCGTTTTTCTTTTCAAGTGCCGTGTATTCTTATTATTAACTAGCGGCTGCCCGCAACTTCGTATGCGTGGATCCCGTTTTACCCCCTTAGTGGAGTTTCGTAAAATCCTTTCTTAGCGGATGCCTACGTCATAACATCTACCTGCATGCCAAATTTCAGCCCGATCCGTCCAGTGGTTTGGGCTGTGCGTTGATAGATCACTATGTCAGTCAGTCAGTCAGTCACCTTTGAGTTATTTATATTTATAGTTATTCAAAGACATTATGTGCACATAAAACACAGTAGGTATATAAGGCGAACTTAATGCCATTTGACATTCTCCTCCTGTTAACCATAAGCGTATTTATAGCGCCTCAGCGTCTACCTATGCTCGTACGAGACGTATGTTGGACACAAGGCGGCTTGTAAATTAAAAAGTAAATAAGCTAATCTCTGCGCGGAAAAAAAGCAAGTCTGAAACGCTCTTTAGATAAGTAATTTGCCAATCTAAGAAACTTATCAATTCTGATCTTGTCAAAACCTTTCTTATCTTAATCCTTTGCATAAATCCGTTTTTGATCAAAACATTTTAAGTAGATAGGTATAAAGAGAGCCGATCTCCAAAGGCTTGAAAAGTTCAAAGGTGAAGCCCTTCAACAACGCGCCTCCTGAAAACGAGGGTTTCTCGCTTCAAACGTCTATACGTGACGCCGTTCCATTCTCACGTCCCTAAATGTTAGTAAGTGCGAACGAGACATGAATATGATTATGTAATAGGTTGTCGTAGCCGGCTTGGGGCTCAGTACCCGCGTCACGTAGTTCCCTTTTTTGAGGCTTCTATAATAATTCGAGTTTACGGTCGAGGTCAGGGCCTACCGAGGATGTGAAAAATGCGGGGTGTGATTGAAACTTGTTAAGGCGGACTGTTCTTTTATTGTTGTTTCGCCGCTTTAGGAATGCTAAGCAGGGCTCGGGTTCAATTAGGTTGTATAGAGGAAATCGCGTCGAGATGGTGATTTGTTGACGCTGCAGATGGCAATGCTCGTATAAATCTTAAACTTGAACTTTGTATAGTAGGAAAGTAAATCACAAATCATAGCCTTTTAGCCAGTATAGTTGGGTTCTTATGTTTAAGCAACCAAATATTGATGAAACTACAAACCTAGGTATGCCTGAATTAGAAACTTGCTACATAAGCTTAAATAACTTCAATTTAATTACTGGCATGCTTGACTGGAAGAACTAAATACGCGATGTTTTATTGTTGAAGAAAACCAGCAGCTTAAAAAAAATTCAAGTGCCTAGTTGAAATGGTACGTTAATACTAAAACCTTTTGGACCATTAAACGTTTTTTGCATAATAACAATTAATCACGAAAATATTTTTTGTCCCAAGACAATTTATAGCAAATGTTTTCCAGGAAAATAGTAATTTTCTTGCACAAATGCCGAGAAGTTTCGGCAATGATTAATGTGTCCCCGGGAAGTTCACGCGTGCCACGCTCACCTGTCCCGCCCGCCCTACGAACTGCCCTTGGAGTTGTCTCACGTAGCATGTATAATAGATTATGGAAGCCTGAACAGCAGGACATTGAGTCAGTCAGGGCCTCGAATCGAACGTAATAAGTTATTGACGGAAGTTGGAACTGGTGACGAATAAATAATTTAATGAACAGTGTGAATCGTTAGTTTATTTACCTTTAAGTAAACTCGTAATGAAGTTTTAGAGACTAGATAGAGCCGTCTGCTTTTACTTAGAAATTAAAGCAGCAAGCTATGATACTTTTGTTTTCCTTTTAAAAATAATTAAACCTCATTGTTGGGGAAATGGATATTGTCTTAGAAACAGCTTGTCCAGCGTTTGCATCGTCAAACATAAATATTTGTCAATTTCGTTACATGGTAATAACACTTTTACTTAATTTATAATACTGGGTGTTGTGTCCTTTGTTGATCAAAGAACCAAGGCGTTTGCAGATCAAACAAGTGAGTACGTAGAATTATCATGAATTTTCTTTTGAGTTTTCCCCATTCCCATACAATGGGTTCTCTTCTTATGGGCATACTCCTACGCTCAATTTTATTATGGCTGCATTTTCGGTTATATTCACGACACTGAAAAGAGACTTTACAATATTACATTCCTTTGTAATTGAATATTGGATTTCACTTGTTAATAGGTAGGTACATGTAAATAGGTCCTGCAAAGCACATTATCGTAGATATTATTGGAGGATTCTAATCGGTCGTCCAACGATTCTATGTTCTAGAATTAGGGTGATAGTGAGCTAATAGTGTAAAAAAAACGGGAAAGATTATAAAAAAATTAAATTATGATAGAAAAAATATGAAAAGCCTATACATATTTTACATACGGAGAGATCCGCGACCGCCTTGCTGAAACTTGTTTAATAGAATAAATCTACATTAAGGTACCTAATATCAAAGCCTTCTTAATTAGATACAACATCGTTACAGTAAACTTCAAAAGCTCACTGCAGTGTCAGAATGGAGAAAGTTTCGGGATATTTAGTTCATGTACCTAAGTATTTAACAAAGTTGTCGCGACTTAGCGAGTG